ATATTTGATGTTTTTTTGTTGAAATAACATGTTTCTTCTTATTTTTTTCTTATTAGTTGTGTATTAATGTTTATTGCATTATTTCAGTATCATGTGTGTCACCATGATGGGGTTTAGTGTTTATGTGAATGACACTGTGTGCACCTTCTATATATATTATATAAGTATTGTCCTCCTCAGCTCGTAGAAAAGCTGTTTGTGATGAGCTTTGGTTCATCATGTAACTTTCTCGTCACCACCAGTTTTTGGTGGTTATCAGTGCATTACAATGGTTCAAAACAGATATTAGTACTTCAATATTTTGGTTTATTAACATTACATCAGTTAATGGAATACGGTATTTTTTTTTGTGAATTTAAGTTAAGTCTGTAAAACCTAAAATGTTGCTACCATATTTTTTACGGTGAAGTTCTGGCAACCACAGCTGCTGGTATTTTACCGTAAATGTCACAGTTTTTTTTACAGTGTACTAATCAAAGAAAGGGCGTAATCAGGTCATTTTACGTGTGACTTTTAACGCAACTCGAAAAAAATGTGCATCATGTCAATAAGAATACTACCTAGCTCCAACTGCGGTCACCGTGATTTTGCCAAGTAAGACATGTTCATGACATTGATCCTGGATCAACATTACTGTCCAAAAATATAGACTTAACCCAATCCCTACCCATAATTTATTCCTAAAAACGGTGTGAAATGATAGCCGATTAACAAGGGTGTAGAAGCACCTAACCCTGATTGTAAGCCTAAAACAGATATTTCCTGAAAAGTTATCCCTCAATTCTGATTGGTTGATAGGAATGTTGTTCCAGGATCAACAAGGATGTTGATCCAGGAACATGTTGTACTTGGTGAAATCACGGTCACCCTCCAACTGCTGTCACTTCAGCTATACAATTAATCCTTGCCATTAACTAACGTTAGATGGCAGGAACGTTGAGACACTGCAGGAAAGATGGAAACAATAACTATTATTGCTTCAGGAGGTGCAAGAAATCAAAACTAACCTGCTCAGAGAGGTGTTTGGAGCGCAGAAAGAAGCCCAGCAGGCATCCGATAACCACGGCCAACACTGACAGGATGAGGAGGCCGTTCTGTTGGCACACATTTTTAACGCGGCTCCACACCGCACCCAACGCCATGGTGAGACGTCCACGTCTACTGCCTGCTCAATCAGCCATACGTTTAAACACCCTGACCTGAGAGCACAGACGTCCCGAGGGGGCAAAACGAAACAGACACGCAGAGAACGAAGAAGTAAATTAGGAAGGTAGTAATGGTGGTAATGAAGGTCCCTCCAAGAAAAAGCACTTGTCAATCCACCGTTGGTCACTACTAAATCCCATCACCCTTTCCAGTCACTAACACACTACCCTTCTCTCTCTCTCTCAGTCTCTCTTCGTTCTGCCCCATCACACCCCCTTACCCTGTACTTCAGCCTGGCCAATAGGGGGCTCTGGGACAGCTGGCAGTTTTGTCCCAGAGGTTAATACCAGCGATCCTATTAGAGCCGCACTGCATTAAGCCGACCTGAAGATAGATTAAAGATCTCTGAACAATTGGAAAGGGGATTGTTTCATGTACTTGTGAAGAAGAAAAAATAAAACAGGGCAAAAACATAAAGATGAAGCAAGTGATATGACTCAGTGTAGATGTTACACAGCAGGGGGTTTAGACAGAGTTGGCCAATGTGGACACGGGTTGTGGTAGCTCTATCAGTGGTTGCAGGTATGTGTTTGACAGTGGGATTTTGCACCCTCCAGTGGATGATGGGAAACAGTATCTAAATCCATATACACTCTCAAAAAAAAAAAAAAGGTACAAAAGCTGTCACTGGGGTGGTACCTTTTCAAAAGGTAATATTTTGAAATATATTTCTAATATGCTGATGTGATGTTCAATAAACATTTATTATTATCAATGTTGAAAAAATTTGCGCTGCTTAATATTTTTTGGAAACCAAGATACACCAAGTATAAATAATAGTTAAGTATAAGTAAAAAGTAATAGTTTAAAAAAAAACTTTTATTCAGCAAGAAAGCATTAAACTGAGCAAAAAATACATTTATAATGTCACAAAAGATTTCTGTTTCAAATAAATGCTGTTCTTTTGTATTTTGCATTCATCAAAGAATTTTCCACAAAATATTGAGTAGCAAGCCATTATTAACTGAGAACCAATTATAGGCCTAATTGGGCAGCACATCAGCATATTAGCATGATTTCTGAAGGTGCTGAATGATGCTGAAAAATTCAGCTTTGCCATGGTAACTTACACAAGCTTCAGTCGGGATCCAGCCCTTACAAAGACCTCTCAAAGACATCTCTCTTACAAAGAGAAGAGATGATGCAAAACCCCCAGAGGACCTCAGATGATGCCAACCGTGAAACAACATAAACTGCCAATTTTTACTACAAGTTTGATTGCAACATATAATCATTGCTGTTAATAGTGTTCATCTTCTGTTTGATTATGTCATTAACTGAATTTTACCGTAGGCAACATTTCTGCCATATGTAGCTATCAATTTGACATAGTCACCACTGACAAGCTACACTCTAAACAAAAAAGGTTCTTCAGCGGTTCTTCAGTGGTTCTTTGGAGTGGGGTTCCCCTATGATTACGAGCCAAAGAACCGCTTTTAGTACTATACAGCACCATATTTTTTTTTAGAGTGTACTACTAAATATACTGTAGAAACTTAATTTTCTGTAAAGCTGCTTTGCAACGATTTGTATTGTGAAAAGCGCTATACAAATAAACTTGAATTGACTGAGTTGCAGGTGAGGTTCTTTTATCCATGCTGAGATGTTCGCCAGGCAGTCTGAGATCCGTGCAGTTACCGTCAGATCGTCTGCCTGAAATAAAAAGTAAAGCTGCCTGTCACCAGCAAAGCAATGGCAGGAGAAACCATGTGCCTGTATAATAGAGATGTATATGATGCAGATTTCGCAACGGGTTCAAGTTGATCACGCGGATTCGCCTCGTTAAACAACAGGATTCTGCTTGATTTGAAATTGAACTCCCTGTGAGCTGTGCTTCATACATTGCTACACTATAAGAGACAGGTTATTTGCTGACCATGAAATGTCGCCGAAATTTCGCTAACGTGACCGCATCTTAACTACTTAGTTAACACTGTGTATTCAGTTAAGGCAGCGAGTACAGCTTATGTTTGTAGTTATTACAATAGGAGGATAATATTTGACCGTTTTGTATGTCAATTCCAATTTGGCATCATCTGTAGTCTTTGCAAGTGTTGCCGTTGTCTGAAGTCTTTGTAAATGCTGGATCCAAACTATCGATCAATCTGCAGGTACTGAAAAAAACAGGAAAGCAAAAAGTAGAAGAATAGAAGAAAGAAACACCTGCAAATTAAGAAAACATCTTCATCAATTTGACAACACACACGCTGCAAATTCTTACAACACAACCAAATACAGAAACGCGCAAGTATACAGAGACCACAACAAGCAGGATTCTACATTCTACATGTGCGAACTGTTTTTGTTTGTGTTGTAAGAATTTGCAGCAAGTTTCTGTATTTGCAGCGCATTTCTTTATTTGTTTGTGTTGTGAGAATTTGCAGCGCGTTGAGCTCTCTCGGCCACCGTTAGAATTAGTGTAGCTGATGTTCATAGCATTTCGGGCAAAAGATCATGCGTTTTTGGTACTTTTTCATCAGATATAATTGTTTATGAGGACATTATATGAATGCTTGGCTAAAGATATGGCTTTAATCTAGATTTAAACCGAGAGAGTGCAGATCAGGAAGAGTTTAGAAGCCAATTGTGAAACTCTCTAGCTCCTTTAGTAAACTCTTATATATCAGAAGTCAATAGTTTTGTGATCTTAAAGGAATAATTCAGCAAAAAATGAAAATGTTCTGAATTTGACTCACCCTCAGGCCATCCAAGATGTAGATGAGTCTGTTTATTCATCTGAAGGTATTGCAGTGAATGGGTGACGTCAGAATGAGAGTCCAAATCTGATAAAAACATCCCAATAATCCACAAGTAATCCATACCACTCCAAAAATATGGGGTAAGATACTTTTATAAATAAATGCTCATCAGGGCTGCATTTATTTGATCAAAATACAGTAAAATTTATATAAGTGAAATATTAATACAATTTAAAATATCTGATTTGTGAATGAACTTTTTTGAAAATAATGATTAATATTTGTATAATCACATGTATTCAAGAGGTTCAAGGGGGATGAGATGGAAGCAGCAGTATGAGTGCTTCACCTTCAATATTCCTTCAATCACTGCTTCTGTTTGTACTGTCATCTCTGTCCAGGACAACGTCATTCTTATGACAGAGATCAATGATCTGCGTCAGGAGCTGCGCACAGTCCGTATGCAGCTGCACAACTACGAGAGTCAAAGCAGCTTTAACAAGAACATCAAGAGCTCTGCTAACACGAGAGGTGACCAATGTGAAATCTATGAGTTTTGGATAAACCTTGACAACATTGGTGTTGACATCTCAGATGTTTATGTTGGAGGTTCTTTTTCTTTCATGCTTTAGGTGCAGCTTCAGCAGGGAGGAACGGCTTGATGACGCAGCAGAGTTTAGAAGAAGCAGAGAAGATCACCCAGTTTCAGCGACTGGAGATCCAGAGGCGCAAGCAGGAGATTAACGGCCAGACACCCTCATCCAGAACCAAACTACCACCACTCGCCAACTGAATGTACTATTTGTGCTCCATGCGTGAATAAAGTGTCAAATATAAGTCATTATGGGTGTTTCTTTATGAATCAACGATGAAAAGCATGACCAGATTTAAAAAAAAAAAAAATTAGCTCATTTAGGGCTTGTTAATATTACTCCATGAAATTCCTGTATGAATGAGGTTTATGCAAAATACGTTGCCTCTAGAGTGCTGACAAATTACACAGAACACAAAGCAATTTCTAAATGATCAGCCATTTATATCAATAGAATACAAAGGAATGTAATTTAAAAATACATAAAAAATAAACCATGGTATATTTACAGTATCCTCCAAGTTTTATATAATTAGTCTGCAAAGAAATATGTGATTTCCTAAATGATTATAGTTCATTAAATACAAATAGTACCTTAACCTTTATATATCCTAATGATATTGAAATAATACATAGTACATTTCATTAAAGAGGCACTTTGAGACTCGCATGATATTTGAAATACATATTTATTTTTTGTTGAACTGTAATAGTTATTAATAGTGATTTTCAAACAAAATTGAGTTTTTTTGGAGTTCAGAGGTCTTATTTTTCAGTGATAAAAAATATCACTGAAAAAATTCGGCCTGGATAATTTTGTATGATAAGATTGAAAATGAATATGATGATGTGATAAAATGACATGCCTTTAGTAGTTTTGATTTTTACTGTTTGTTTTAGTATTTCCATACTGAATTCTGAATCCATATTGTTCATATTGTTCTTTGCTAAATGTGTGTAATGGTGTCATAATGGACAGGTTGAGCTGCAGTTACAGTATGTTCATTTATTTTTACCTGAACGTTTTACTACTGTTATAACGCCATAAGCTGGAACACAGTAGTGCTGTTGTAGATGACTAATAACTACCTAAGAAGTACAAGTCATCCTTAGGAAACATGCTTAGTTTCATGAATTTTTGATGCTCAGGCCTAATAGCAAATTTTGATGAATCAGCATTTCAACTGACAGATAAATGATGTTAATACTAATGGGTAAGAATTGGTCATCATCGGCTGAATAGCTTAACAATGTAACAAATGCATGCATGTGAACATGCATAGAACAAATTCATTTGTAGAACCATGGTGCACTGACAATATAGCTTTATATAATTATAAGGATTATTTACTATATGCATACAAGGCTACTGAACATCTTAAAGTAGATCTCTAGAATTATGAGACATTTTATACATTATAATTTCACGTTGCAAATTAAATTCGAAATAATAATAAATTAATTCAAAGAGCATGTGGTTATTTTTTTTCAATATGGTGTTTGTGCTCTACAGATTCCCTGCTTATTTTACCTGAACACAGACGTGTTAACACTGAGGGGGGTGTGTTAATAACTCTTAGGTTTAAACGTTTTTATTTTGTTATACGTTTTTAAACAAAATTATAGATTATGCGCCTATGCCGACAACCTGCCATAAACCCGAAGCTGCTGCTCCTCCAGCAGCGGAACCATTTCGTTGTCGTTCTCTGTTTCCGTCAAGGTTTTAATGTTACGCACACGCATGAGAAACAGTGCGGTCCACACGTGAAGCTTTGGGATGTTGTGAATTCTTCTGTTACTGTTTTTTATTTTTCTAATCCCCGTTCGGTATTCGTTTACTATGGAAGAAATAAACGAGGATCCCCAGCTGGGGTTTGAGTCCGAGGAAGACGACGACGACGACGACGAATTATCAGACG